ATCAAGGGAACTTTGTGAACACCCAGTCAGTAACAGGTATCACTGTTTTCTGCTAATGGAAATTCACCCCAGCCCCCCCCCATAAAAAAATAAATAAATAAAGATTAGTGCATTATTCAGTGTAAGGAATTATGTTATAATTATGGAGCATGTGGTAAGTAAAACCAAGGATTGCAATTTGGTGAGCTAACGAAACTGGTGAGAAGCTGACTGGCTGAACTCCGCTGCAGGTTGCACTTTCATTGGCTACCAAGCTGATGTGGTTGCTAAGGGTTTTTTTTCTTTTTTTTTTTCGGAATGTTCCATGAATACCTAAAACTGAAATTTCTCAAGCAAGATGCTTCTTCATGGCAACGTTGGAGAACCAATGAACGTGAAGAGGTGTGGCGACATCTATCTGTCTAACAGGATTAGCCGGTATAAGCAAAAAGTAACATGAGCAAAGCTTAACCATCTTGTCTTTGCAAATCTTGCAAAAGCCAATGCAACGCAGATATTTTTACAGTGAAATAATTCCAATGAATGACCACCATTTCGGTAACAAGCCATCCAAGAGTCGCGACTGAAATGAGCATTACATCTGACGTTCCACCAGAGGTTATTTTGTTTGTGTCTTGTCTGCGTGTGCCAGTGTTTCGTCTGCTTTCAGATAATTTGATGGCCACTTCACGATAGAGGCATGGAAATACACCAAAAAAAACAGACAGAAATGATTACTACCTTACCCACATGTGAGGATCTTGAGTCATCCAAAGCCAGCCAAGTCTAAGATTGTTGCTGTTTTACACTCAGGCAAGGGCTACTCTTTGCTTCGTCAAAAGACCACGAATCCAGAGTAAAACGCCTACACCTGCAAGACAGAAAGAGGCAGACGACATCAATTTCGAGTTTAGGCATCAGTAATGTGAAAGCAGAAAGAAAAAAAAATGCAACTTTAAATCAATTACAAGCATGATTTTAAAAAACAAGAGAAAAAAGGCACACATTGCCTCTACTTGATCAAATTTCTTTTGTGAGCTTTTAAGTAAAGTTCACAGATATCGACCGGTCTAAGAAAAACAAAAAGCAGAAAAGAAAAAAGTACTTTTAGTGCATGGTGAAGTACTGTATCATCTTTCCTTGATGCGCTTTGTCACGTTTATTGTGCCTCGGCCCTCATGAACCATCATGTTTTCAAGCATTTACAAAATAAATGGTCATGGGAAACGCAGTAGGACGCGTACAGACTCCGCGGGGAAACCCAGCTCTGCTTGACCCCCCAAGGATGAGTAGTGCTTCTTTGTCTGGTTCTCTTCTATGGCAGAGTATCCCAAATGGAGCAGCCGGTTTTGAACTGCTAAAGCATCAGTTTGAGCCTGCGTCAAAAATCTTAGGGAGCTGATGTTCCTTTTTAACATTTTGAACCAGAAATATTTCCGCCATATCACATATGAAGACAAACCTAGCGTTTTTTCGTCTGCATGACGAAGATAGTGTCACCTTAATGTTAGGGCAGCTGAGAGTATTATCTCACATGACATAGAACATTGCGATTGTCAGTGTAAAAGCTACACCCGGCATTTTTTTTTCTCCTCAATTTAATCCATCCACCTGAAGTCTTACACATTTTGACCCCCCACACAGTTAGCCAGTGTCTTTCTGACAAATGTCATTTCATGCCAGAGCCTCTCTGCAGTCGGCCATTTTGTGTCGCAGCAGTAAACCCCCGTGGTGCGGCAGCTTCTCTCTGATCTGGTATTATTCCACCGCGTCCACTTGCGCTACAGGAGGCACATTGTGTCATGGTCACTGAAAGAAGTTTGAGGCATCGCACCCCCAGAGCTTTTTAAATGTCTCTCTGTCCAAACCTATTCCATGCCAGTCTCATGTTTCATGCAGTAAAAAGGATGTGCGGCTAAATTTAACCATTGAAACATTGGATCATGTCATAATCATTTGAATTGTTTTATTTTTGCGAAAAAAGCATTGACAAGGCTACGCTGTGGTGTTGGAGCAGTTGTGTGACGGCAAACAAATTCCTGGTTCAAATCTCAGCTGGGGGCTTGGTGTGAAGGATTTGCATATCGTTGTTGTGTAAATATTCTCTCCAAGTACTGTAACTCAAAATGTTGGTCCAAGGTCTTCTTTGTCTTTGTGACTGGAGACCTGTCCAAAGTGTATCTTGCCTTTCATCCTCTTGACAGTTAGTTATGTAAACCTTCTTTCAAACTAATTTTTTTACAGATGAAAAACTTGACTGTGAACTTGATCAGATTGTGTGAGTCCCCCGAGCAGCGTGTTGTTGTTTAAGCCTATATCGTTCTCCAAGGGCACTCTGCTTTGCTCCCACAGACTAAAAACGTGCACATTGGGTCAGTGGGAGACTAAATGTTGTCCATGGTGTGGTCCAGTGAAGGATGGATGACCCGTCCTAGGTGTCCTGTGACAGGGATAAGCTCCAGCCCCCCCCCCCTACCCCCCAACCATACCGAGAATAATCATCATCAGAAAAATGGATGCTGAGACATCTGTTCCACATTACTCATGGTGACTGTATTTCGATACACAGTTGAATGAGGGATTTCTTTGATGAGGCAAAACCTGTGGAGGGGCCAGGGAGTAAAATCAGTCATAAAAAACCCAGAAAGCGCTGAAGAAGAAAAAGAGCAACAAGGCACCACCAAACTTCCAGAAGAATTAAATACAAGCACAAAAGTTACCATCGACAGGCAAAAAGGAAATTATCTTAAAAGTGGAAACAACAGAGGCATGACAAAAGGTAATAGAAGACCAGATATTAAAAATTAGAGTATAAATACAATCAAAACAGTTTAGCTTCATGCCTAGAAAATACACAATATCGTCTGGAGCTTTAAACAGAGAGGAATAACGTAGAAACTAGGCTTGATTGTCAAGTCCATATAAGATGGTAAAATAAAGGGTAAATGCAATAAAACAGCCTTTGAAATTAGAGTGGGTGTTCATCAAAGTTCATGTCTTAGCCCACTGTAATTTAAAATTGTGCTGGATGAAGCTAGTGAGTCAAAGAGGAGTGCAATGAAATATGCTACATGCTGATGATTTATTTGTGGCTGGAGACGTTGAAGCTCATCTACTGGGTAGTTTTTTAATTTTTTTTATGGAAGGCGATACTTGAGAGTAAAGGCCTGAAAATAATTACTCAGCTTTGTGGTAAATGCCAGTGGAGGTTGTGAAGAAGACGTTAAAAGTCAAATTGGTGCAGCTGGGCAAAAATGGAAGGATTTGGTAGATGAGGTTGGTGAAATAAGGATGCCATTTCATATTAAAGGGAAAGTATATAAAACACTTGTGCTTCCAGTCCTGATTTAAGTAGCTGAGCCATAGACCTTACAGCAGCCACTGGAAAGAACAGAAACATGAAAATAGCATGGATAATTATGGTCATTTTCACTAAGGGCTGGATCCACTAAACAGTTACAACTTTGGAAGTGATTTGGCCGGGGTTCAATCAGGGCTGACTGCCAGGCTCTGATTGGCCAGGGAGTCACATGATTGGGTATCAAGTATGTCATGTCAACCCTATCTATTTTAAAAACGTGACGACAAACTGATTTGGTTATTTCTGTGATATATAAGTGATGGAAATGCTTAACGCAAGAACCAAAACAGAAGTTTAGTCGGCCTATAGTTGCTGCAATGTTCTTTATTTTCATCCCGTGCTCGTGCCGTGTGTAAATGACACCCCGTGCTGGTCAGTCCGGCCTTCTTTTCTGCCATAATTTGTAATAGAAAAAGGCATAAGGAGCTGCGGCGGGCTGAGTATGTACTAATGGAAAAGCGCCATTAGAGTATTTTTCAAAGACAGCTGACAAAATTAAGTTATCAGAAAGACGTTTGGTGTCTCACTGACAAGATACGCCAGTCAAGAACGCAACAATATGGGCATGTAGAACAGAATAAATATGAACACCTGGCAAAAAATGTTTTTAATGCAGAGGTTTTTGGTCAGTGGGGCAGAGGATGCCAGGAAAAACGGATGGATGTTATTATAGAATCGGGAAAACTAAAATTATTCAGGATAGTAAAGGATATTTTTTCTCCTGGGAGTTTGCATGTATATCCCCTTGACTTGACTATATTTACATATATATGTATGTGTGTGTGTTTGAGAGAAAGCTTGTATGAATGTCTGTATATTGCGGTTGAGCGTGTGCATAACCGCAAAAAGTGAGCAAATAATAAAGCTACTTTCAATTGCTAGCAGGTGTGTGAGTAAAACAGAGATGCGGGAGGGTTGCAGGCACCCAACCCTCATTTTGCTCCATTTCTGTCATTCTGCTGTTTGCTTTTCTTGCATCCCGTTTTGCAGGTTGGATCTGTGCCAATTTTCCAGCCCTCTCACGCGCCAGTGTCTCTAAGTTTCGGTTTGGCCAAAAAGAAATACGCCTTACATTACAGTACACAGCGTGCACAAGAAACACCTGACCGGGGTCAGTCGTGTTGCTCATCGGCACTGTCCTGAATTGTGAGAGAAATTACGGTTCGATTGTTGGAAAACAGTTTCTCAAACAGAGAATGGAAAGTCTTTTGCTTTCGCAGTTATTCTGATTCCAAATCTAACTCTGTGTTTTTGAGTTCATGCCCCTTTTGAGCTCAAACACACACATTGTGTCACAGGCAAAAGCACAGAAAAGGTGTCTCTTTGTGTTGAGCACAATAACATTTCCAAGAAGGCGATGGAGAAAACTAAAGAATTCGATTCAAAACATTTGGACGATGGGGTTACGTTTTTTCACTTAACTTATTTGACTAACTATTGCTATAATAGGAATTATCTTCCGGGCCAAAGTGATTAGTTGGAATCCTTATAATGAGTCACTCAAATACAATCTATGTTATCTAATTTGTCTAATTTATTCAACGCAGACCTGATATATTTGACATAAAAAGACTTTTTCAGTTTAAGGCCTTTCTTTCAACGAACATGCCACCCTCCTTATCTGTGTGACACGGTGGCAGGTTGTGTTTTAATACCATGATACAGCCTAGTTCCAGTTCCAGAGTTCCAGAGTCCTCAAAAGGTGGGGAAGGTTAACATAATTTATTTCTCTTGTAAATTAAATCTTTCAAAAGCCCTGAACAGCCTAAAACAGCAGTTCATTTCTAGTGTGTGGCAAATCATAAAATTTTTGTGAATTCATTATTTTGGAGTGTGAAGTTCTGACAAAGAAAAAGTCGATTCAAATTTACATTCATATTTCCCCTGAGCAAACTCAGACTGAAAAAAGGACACCGTTTTTTTATGCTCGAGACCAGGCAGTCATTTATTCTAGTCTTAGAGTTTCAGCTTGGCCAATTTAAAAAACACATATTATCTTGGTTGTATGCTAGACAGATGGTTGAAATGTAAGAAGAGACACTGGGACATATTAGCCTTCTCCACTCCATTGTAATATGGCTGAATGGGATTTTCTTTGGGTTGCTCAAAGAGCTTTCACTGGAACAACTTTCTACTAAATACATTTCACCCTTGTTCATGGAATTTCTAAAAAACTGAAAACTGAGCGAGTCAAAACAAAGAAGAAATCTTTTTTTAACCAACCGGATTAATAAAGAAGAACCACTGTCTTAGTGTCTTGGCCTCAATGATCGATGTGAAATTATGTTGGGAACAGGGCTTTATTTGCACCAGTTCATTAAAAGCAGTGCTTCAACTGCCTCAAAAAGCTCTTCTGTATATGTACAGACACTTTAAAGCCTTTCACATTCACTTAGAAACATTTTGATTAGAAACATCTCCGAGGCGGAGAAATTTGTATGTAGTTCTGAAGGGACTAATAATTTAAAATATTTATTAGCTTAATGTTTCTCATGTTCCTTGATTTATATGCTTATATGACGTCAATAAGCTTATATTATTTTTTATCTTGTAAATTTTCTTACAATTTTCTTACAATTCTTTCTTATGTTGTAGCAGCTGTGTTTATTTTAACTCCCATACATACTAAAACAGTACCTTTGGCTTCATGGCCTATAAAAAAAATAACATTTACATGTATGTTCATGGGCTATAGATAAATGAGAACCAGCAACATGTTTCCCATTTAGATTAATGGAGTAAATTAGGCCCGGTATTTTAAATATATCCTGGGTTTGCTGCATACCTGATTTACTGTATATGTTAAAGGTTTGTTCATATTTAAAATTCAGACTGTACCCCAAATACTTTCATATGTGTGCCTATGTGGTTATTTTTTAATGCATTTTTTTGGGAGAACAAGCAGAGGGTTAGTGGCGAGGGTTTCACAATTCCCAATATATCGCATCAACATTGTGGCTTGGTCCATCTTCTTGCTTACTTTGGAAGCCCTGGCAGATAGTTGGCGGTTAGTTGCTGCCACAGCTGACTGACTAGTAAGTGAGATGGGAAAGTGGGCTGTGCATGGAAAGTATTCTCCACAACTTCCCTTGAATAGTGTTTCACCCCAAGTTTCTCGGGATAACAGATGGAAAATGAAAAAGTCAGAAACTCATTGTAAATGTTATTTGGAGTTACGGTCAAAGATCTGGGGGAAAATTCAGTTTTTATCGAGATGACTGTGTAGAAAAAGAATAAAAAAGACTTTTATAACACGAGAGGGAACATGAAGGTGTATTTGGGTCACTTCACCTTCATACTGGTTGATCTGTAAAGCGTTGATGAAAATGAAAAGCATTGGCTTGGGTTTTAAACTCTGTGTGTCAGTCATCAATTCATAGAAACAGCCTAGTTGAAACCGTCGATCCCAGTTTACAGTCTATAGACTCACATATATACATGCTAAATATAGGCTATAATCTGACAAAAATAGTTTACATGCAAACTTAGAAATAGTCCTTTGGGACACAATCATAAAATTTCTTTGCATACTCTAAGTCTTGATCACAGTGATTCGCGTTGTTCGACATGTTGAATTTGCATAGAAACAACGGAATACTGCTTTTCTTGACACCCTCATTTCAACTGATGTCCCTTTGATATACTCCCGTGTCTTGTTAGGCACAAACAAAACTAAAAGGGAAATGACATCAAAGGTTACTTTCACCGTGAGTTTTTCGAGATTCCATAAGCGCTTTGTGTTACTTCAAAATATAAATCCCTCACAATAAGTGCTCAGTCCTATTGTTAGTCCAGCCTACTTTTTAATGCATAACTCCAGTATTTATCATTTGTTTTGTTTAAATACCAAGCCAAACATAAACAGCCATAAATCTTCTATGAAGAACACAGCTTTATTGTCCCGGGGGAGTTCATGCTTGAGGACTACGTTGGGGAGCTGTTCAGGTGCCGTTCTGTAAATGGCAAATTCCCCTGAAACTCTTTGTCCCATTTTAACAACAATGCTTGGGTCATGCTTTCTTTGAGACACAAACAATTTTTGGTATTGTTTTTTTCTTTTTTTATAAAGCCAGGCACAGGTACAAACAATCTATCCAACCACAAATAGAATATAAGTGTGTAGTCCTGCGACTGCGACTCCTTACTAATATATAGATGTAAAACAACAAAAAGTCCCACCAAAAAATCACATGTGGAGGCAATAAGTGATCTTTTGAGGCAATTTGAAGGTCTTCAGCCAAAAAGCTGTTCAAAATAATAAGGTACTTGTGCGGGGCGAGGTGATTGTCACTGAAGGGCTTTCAAAAGATTAAGATGTGCAAAAGGTTGCAGCACTTTCAGGTTCTAATGCAGTCTGAAGAGGTCATGCAATGAGATGACATCTCTCCACACGGGCTAAATCATCCATCACAAAAAGTCAGCTCATCTTTTAAATGTTTCAACTATTTTAATAGCCTGCATATCAACCCATAAAGTCACGTAAAGACAGAAGTTTCATTTAAATGCTTAGATTTAAGCTCATATTTCACCTATGTTGTATAAATGTTCAAGTGAAGTCAACTTATAAAACAATGTGATAACTGGAAAATATATTTAGTTCATATATGTGTATATATATGTATAGTGTAAACAAAACGCATGTCAAAACTGTTTTCCATTGTTTAAATAATTTATTTTAAGGAAGCACATTTGTTTTTGAGGCCTAAGTGAAAGTGTGTGTGTGTGTTTGTGTGTTTATGTATTTCTATTTTTGATAAATGCATACTTCGGTTCCTGTGTATCAAGAAACACCAGTTTCAAAGTTGAGGTACATAGAAAATTACTTGACAGAAAGAGTGGGAGTGAGCTACAATTTGTACATACCCAATTTCACAGCGATATAATTCAAATATAAAGATTTCAGTTTCAGCCATAAAACTTATATTTCTATAATAACTTTTTTAGAAAGCATCACAGTGTAGAAATGTGTTTATATTATATTTAAAAAAATCCATTTTAGCTTTAGGTATTTTGATTGGGCATTGATGGCTAAATTAGATGGTCCTTTTGTGGTCGTGTTGTGCAGATATGCTGAGCTGTGCACCTGTACTGGACTGACATGTAATTATTACAAACATGAGAGGGCAGTAAGTGCAACTAAAGAAAAAAATCAAACAGATACATTAAAGAAATCATACATGTAATGGAAAATAAAACGTATCCATTACAAAAATACATATAGGCATTGGAATGAATGAAACTTGCAGGATTGAATCCATAATCCTCTTTTGTAAGACGATGGTTTTAACTACTTTGTCATAAGATACAAAAATAAAACTGCGATGGCTGTATTCCGGTATTTTGCCATAACACTGAAATCAGTGTTTTATTTTCCTGCAACATAACATGAGAAAATTTATAAATTGTGACATTAGTTATTGGACTACAAGCAAAATGATGATCTGAAAACTGCCTGAAACAAAGCTTTAAATGTTTGGATTTTTCTATTTTGATTTAAATTTGTATTTTTCTTAGCTAGTGTTGAATCAGCTCTGATTCATAACATGTTAAAGACCTTTCCATGACCCCAGTTCTTAGCATATAATGTTCACTCACTCCCTCCTCTTCTTCCTTTTTTGAGTTTCCTTTCACCCTCTCCAAACAGGTCTTTCATATTTTAGTAGTCTTCAGAAAGGATCAGCTCTCTGAGGTTAAGTCACTCCCTTTTATAGGTCTCTACAAATCTGTCCCTTTTTGTGCTTTGTTACATCTCTAGGTTGCGAGGATGTTACTGTGGATCAATGCACATTTGTGATTAATTTTCTTTTTTTCTTTTTCTTTTTCTTTTGTTCCCGTCTTTGAATTTTCTTGTTAGCCTATCTGTCTTTACATGTCATACTGTGTTTCCTTATCTACCGACTACATTTGATAAACTGTGGTGTCGTACTACATTCCTAGTAAAGATCGATAAATTAATATATGTTAAGATGAAGTTTCCATTCCAAGTTCTTATATTATTTCATTCAACTGACATTTGCAAGGCTTGTACATAGAATATTCTTTAACAGGTTGGTTGTTGCCCAGAGAGCAACACAAAACAATTCACAGATGTAGCTAACATCCGGAAATATA